TATCAGCCTGACGCACGCGGACCCTGACACAACCTGACGGGACGTTCCGGGCGTGGAGGCAGGTCTGAGTCTTGATGAGCTGATGAAAAACGGCTGCTGTTATCCCGCCGATCGGCTATTTTTGGAAACGAATTGTGTCACGTTCTTACACTGGAATAGCGCGACCAGCCTTTCTTGATCTTCGTGCTTTGTCACGTCAGGGTTGGTCTTTTATGAGACATCAATATGATAACACCTGTCGGTTTATTATTGTACTGCAACAAAACGTCCGGTTTTGATATCTCGCGATCTGGCCATGCTAGGGTCACGTATTTACGTATTTTGGATGGTAGATAGCTCTTGTGCTCTGGATAAGTGACATAACATTGGGTCCCCTAGCAGCTTGTTTCTATATTTGCTTGCTGGCTTGGGAAGACGACACCAGGCATGTGAACTTTTTCCGAATTGATAGTGTTTGTGTTTGTGTGCGTGCGCTTTTTGGGCACCACTTTGAAAAGTTATGTTTTACATGAACATGCATAATCTCTACTGATGTGTATCTGTTTCCGAACATTCGTGTCCTTTCTTGACCTATCCTCTTCCAAAAGTAACGGAGTCATACCTACCTCCAGGTCACTTGACTTCACTTCCTGTCAGGCTGCCATGAGACGTGCTCAGAATGTGAAAAACTCATAATTTGCGGAGCAGGACACAGACAAAGCAGGAATTTGCTTGTCACTAAGTTATCCAACAGAAGTTGGCCAACAGACAAGCTATGATTTCGTTTACGGAGGTAATGATAATCATAAGATTCATTAAGAATGTAACTCTATTGCTTCTTGAAGTTAACTCGAAAGTACACTCGAAAGACAATGTTTGTACATGTGCCAGTCCATGTCGATTAATACTGACGGGTCACAGATAACAACTGAATCAATGGAACATTTAATTGTACGTACATGCATTATGTTACGTACATACACATGATCAAGCCAGCTCCCTAGTACTTCAGTCTATCAAATAAATTCGACTTCTCGTAGCTTATCTGTGATGGTGCAAAGGTAAGAACAGGTGTCAACCAATTTTGGCTACAACCAGGCTGAGCGTGCTGCAACCAGGCTGAGCGGGTTGTATCCAGTTCCCCTAGCCCTGCCAAGGATAACCATGAGCAGTAGTACTGTAGTATTACTACTCCCACTTTCCGAGAATCAATCTGGCGCCTCACGGAATCTGCTTTCCATTGTATGACTGTAAGGCCATGTTGATTTGATTATATGGATGACATCCGTGCGCGCATGAATTTTCGGCCGTTTCCAAAAAAAAAAGTTTTCAACCATACTGTAAATCGTACAAAACAGTTGCAAAATGAACAAAAATATACCATTAGTTACAAAAAAAATTAATAAAAACTATACCAATGTCGTAGAATACCAAAATCAAACGAAAAAGACGAAATTGTAAAGAAATGAACTTGAAGACTAGATTATTCGCCAAACCATATTCTGTGCCATTTGCTCAACCCTCATGACCACGTAGATTTCATCATGAAAATAACTTTTTTTTTTTTGCAAAACTTTTTTTTATTCGCACGCGCGCATCAGTTTTGGGGCTCCCGGAGGATGTCATCCATATAATCAAATCAACATGGCCTAAGTGGAGTGCAGAAGATCGCATACCGGTGGTACATTGGAGTCGGCGAGTCAAGGGCATGTCAATGTCTGACATCATGTGATACTGTTTACTTTTTGTAGAAAATTTCAACCGTTCATTTCCTAAGTAGACTCCATGCCCATCTGGTGGCCTTTTGAATGGATGTACTACAACCTCAAGAAGAAATGTATACTTGCGTGAAATATTCATATTTCACTCCATGGGTATGGATGGAATGTATTGTTTTTCTTCGTATTCTCATTCTCCTCCTCCTCCTCAAAAGTGAGTACCTAATTTGCATAATTAGTTAGAAAATGCTATAACTTCATAATGACAACTGCCGGTAACTTCTTACCAACCGGACTTGGAAGTTACGTGAAATTGAACATCATTAAACATAACTTATTCAGATCAGGATCTCATTTGCATAATCTAATGACAAAATATTAGAATAGCTGTCAGTGGCTGGACAATACGGATCAACTGATATACTAGTTCATGCAAATGAGTAACATTTACATGTAATTCGTCAGTCATAAACATCATCTGGCGAAGGTATGAGATCGTGGAACTCTTGATAACGATGTTTTGTTTTTAAACCAAATCTCGCTGTCCTTGAGTAACCGCTAATTGGAGGTTGTCGTCATGGTAACGTCCCTGCCCTGCGATCTGTTTTGGCGGGAAACTCTGAGTGCAATCTGTATCAGTACAATATAAAGGCACAGGGATGGATGGATACTTTGGATACTTAATTATGTCCGCTAGTTGACATTACAACATTAATGGAAGAAGGGTCACAATTTACATGTCATTTTTCAAATTGCACACACATTTTAAAAATGACTAGCCTAGAATGTTCCCTGACCGCGCAGCACGGCGCCGTCACTGCCGTGCCCAGTGTGGCCGTGACGAGGGCAGGAATTTAGAGCCACGACAGGCGGCTAAGTCCCTGGATTGTTCCATGGGTCTTTAATTAACAGTTTTCCTTTGCGATAAGGATCCCGCAAGAATTTGCTTGTCAGTAAAGTAAGCGGAGCAGTCATTTCTGACCGTCCCCTGAACGGGGCCAAACCGGCATCACTTCCGGAGCCTTCAAGAGGCTTTCCTCGGCTAGTTATTGTGTCCTCCGATGTCGGTCGAGTCCAATTTTGGCGAGCGGCAGTCGCAGTGTTGCTGGCGCGCCTGAAGTACAGCAGAACGCGCGGGGAGCCGGTATATCTGCCGACTACGTCAGTCCGAGTACAACAACACCCCGAGCTGGTCGGCCTGCCAAGAAACAGGACATACAAGGTACAAAGGTACAGCTAGAACTTTTTTAGCTTATGTAATGTCAGTTATAGGTGAGAACATTTTGGACAACGGCCCGTATCGTTTGCCAAGAAAGTTTTATTTTGTTGGACGTGTGGGTAGGTAGTACGTGTACATACCACAGACGCCAATGTAGGAGGTGTGTGTCTGTCCTGAAGTGGCCGCGCTCCAACGCAGACGACAGCATGTCCTTTTCACAGTGACAGTACTGATAACGATGTGTGAATGACAATCGGGAATCTTATTAGACGGTATGGTCCTATAAAATTCAGACAGGACATGAGAGAGAGTTATTTATCGCTGTGTTTGGTACACAACTCCACAAGTGTTTCTATTTAAAGGTTTATCCAAGATCTGGAGAGGGCTTTATCTGGAAAATGCCTGAACTCACTACAGAGTACAGGCAATCCACGGGTAACGCTGACACTGTTTATAGTTAGACCACGCATAAAGTTTTGTGTCGCCATCTGGTGGGCGCGACCAGCATCAGCGGTTTTTGGTTAGGGCCCGATCACATTCGTCTGCACGACATACAGCAAATCACTAGGGAATTCGTGGGACTGTCGTGGATTTGTCGTACAAAATTCAGCTGTCTCTAATGACTGGAAATGATGCCCTCGGTCCTTGTCGACACTTAAGCCTTGATGAAACATCTGCAGCAAAAAAGTGGGAGGAAGAATTTGACTAACGTCTTACATGCTGTTGGACAGAGGGACTAAAACAACAGCACTGACAGGACACGCTGAGAAGACGTCATGACTGGGCGGATTAGACACTTGACACCACACAACTGCCAAGTTTATTTCATAGTCCTCCAGAATTACTTAAATTTCAGCCCTAATTTTTCTTATCTATTTTATGCATTCACAATGAAAAAGGCATCCTGAAACCATTACTAACAGTCAGCTTGCAATGTAAAATATTACTTTCTCACGAGAGTCGAGTCGAGCGTCACGAGAACATTTTCCTGCAAACGTGTTTCCTCGATAACAGACTGGGTAAGTTGTTCCTTCCTGCATGTAAGGGACCGTCCACATGTAGTACGCGGATGTTTCTTACGTGGGAAGGTCGTGAAGATAGCATATTTACAACCCAAGAGGTGAACTTCACCTGTATACTGGGTCATTCAATCACCTGTAGGAGTCAAAGATGAGTCAAACTTGGAGAAATCTCAGCATGTTTTGAGGTTAGAAGGGGCTCTTATTGAGTGTCATAGACACACCCAGGCCCTTGTTTGATACCCACAAATGTATCATTTGGGAACCGTCTGTCCTGAGGTTCTCTGTATACAGCGACAAAAAGAATATATCCCCTACGAATAACCTAGGACGGTATAGCAACTCAAATGAAAGTCACCTCCAAACACAAAGTAGATATATTAAATCATCTATTATAACTTGTTTTAATTTTTTAAACTTTTTTTTTAATTTTTAAATTGACCAGCCAGTCATAGTAGCATCTTGCACTTTTAAAGGATTCTGTTTTTCTCAGATACAAAGCAGGTAGGTAGTAGACTGTAGCCTGGCCGCGCTTCAGACGGTAACATCCTGGACTGTCTAGACCGGCACGGCAGAAATAAAGCGGTCTTAGTATTTTCTTGAAACCGAGTTTACCTCAGGTCAGTAGTAGCCTGGGTACCATCCTACTTGTATACCGGGGCTCACACACTCGCTTCCCTTCCTAGGGAAGCGAGTGTGGGAGCCCCGGCATACAAGTAGGATGGTACCCAGGCTAGGTCAGTAGCAGCTGGTGAAAACAACAGTCAGGCTTCCGAGGACATTATTAGCCCCTCCCCCTAGAAATAGATTTTTTTTCTACCTGATCATTTGCCTATGTAACATATTGTCCGAATATGAGGAAATTTTTGTCAGTCAAGTATTATCTAGGCCACTATTGGTATGTGACTTTGTGAGTATGCCCCATGTAGTTGGTATGTCACGTCATGTGTTTTCACTCTTAGTTACACGGGCTTTATCAGATAATCATCGGTCGCAATCGGCAGGGAGCCAGCCTAGAGTACATGCCAGGCTGTTTCCAGGGACTACTACACAGGCCAGCCTCTCCGCTCTAGGGCCAACATTCCCTCAAACAAATTTTACTCATGCATACCCTTCGGGAGAAGAAAAACATATGTCTGTAGCTATGGAATAAAAGTGTTAAGTTCAGTAAGTTATATCAAGGAGCTTAATCTTGATGAAAGAGGTGGAGTATGATATGCAAACTCCCAAAAAATGACTTGTTTGAAGTTTCCCAAGGCCAAGTGGGAAAGTTTGGTACTCTCCAAGCAGAGGTGGGAGGGGAATCCTTACCCTCTCCTAACTTGCTCCGCTTTTTGGCAGTCCACTAGGGGAGGGGGTACGATGCTGATAGAAAGTCGGGCAATGAAAACGCCCCCTCGAACCTCTTGATAAGGTGTGTTCCCCTGCTGGTTTGTGTTGACTGGTGCCTGCTATGGGGTAATGACATGCGTCATCCATCTTTATCGGGTCTTAGCGGCAGCTCCGCTGAAATTAGCCTGTCCAGATGTCGCCGCGACTGAATGTGCCTAGTCTCTCATGTCTCTACTAATATTAGACTCCATTGGGTGCTGGAAGTAGTAGAAATTTATCAGAATGACAGCCAAGGGAGGAGGCCGGCCATACAGCTAGTACAGAAACACACGGAGTCTGTCGGAAATCGCCTAACCTTCAATGATGATTTGTGCCAAGTTCTGTGCCCCTGTATCTATAGTTCTGGCCCTGGACTTTATTTCCTAATACTAGTATAAAAATCACTTCCTTTGCCAGTGCAATTGCCACGTTTCTACTCTGCATAGTCAAATGTTCAGCAATTGTAAAATTATGTAGCTATGGTGTTGAAAAGTCAAACAACAGAAACTGAAATTCGGGTTCCCCAGTGAAGAAGTTTGAAAATCCTGGTTGTGATCAACTGCGTGATTGATGATGTAAATATTTTGGACTTACTAGAAAACTCATTCACGTTGTTAATTGAATACAGAACAGGTAGTGATGACTGGGTGGTTTATGTGTCGTTGGTAGCCCCGCAGGGCTAAGTTAACCCACGCAAAAGAAGGTCCACAAATCTCTTGGTCAACCCCATTCAGTACGAATGAATTACGCTCGTTTCCTGACAGTAATAACATCTAGGCTAGCTACAGCTCTGACGAAACTCCCTAGGACTTAAAATCCATGTGGCGTTAATTTGTGACGTCACTGGTTCAAAGTTGCGGACCTATTTTAAACCAGTGTTGAGCAGAAGCAGATTACCTGTGTGCAGTGTGACTGTGTGTCTCAGAGGGTTGGCAGAAGTCGGTCAGTAGGGCAGAATTCGGGGTCATGATCGGTTATCGGTGATCTCAGCCCTGTCAACAATATTAAAGCAGTGCGTTTCTGTTGGCAGGTCCTGTTTCATGGCCTGCGTTTTAGTTCTTTTTTTTTTTTCGTTCGCTGCTGATATTAGGTCTTCTGAGATTTCTACAGACTTTGACGGCTCCTATTCTCAACAACATTAGCCGAGACGGCTCCAGACTGTTTTCAGTGCCTACTAGTACTACATGTAACGTTACAGGCCAGTTTCTCGGCTTCAGGGCCAACATTGACAACATTCCCTGAAGAAAAAAGATTATACCAGAGCCCTCTTTCGGTTAGACCCTGATCGACGGTTAGATCTCGGTGAGACCCTGTGACAGTGTAACTCTGGGCCTGGAGTGCTAAGGCTATGGGTCTGGCATCCAGGCTAGGGTATAGCCAACTCCTGGAACGCTTCAAGTGGAGAGTGACGTCAGAGGTCTGCAGTTGTTTTAGATGGAGAGGAGTGTGAAAGTAGACCCTTACGGTCTGTGAAAGAAGACAATAGACGTTTCCTACTATTATATATGTAACAAAGGTTCATGACCTTATGCCAAGTACTAGTAGTAAAAGATTCTCTACATTCAGAATACGCTGCTCTCTCTCTCTCTCTCTCTCTTTCTCTCTCTCTCCTCAACTTGTTTTTCTTTGATTTCCTGTAGTTGGTAAGATGCCAGCGCTGCGTGCTTAACCTTCGCATGAGCACGTTGGCCTTGATTCCTTATCGTGAGAGAGAAGTTGATTGGGGTGAAAGCCAGCGTGCGTAAGGTCAGCCTTCAGGGCAGACGACTAATGGGCGCAGGCGCGTAGCAGGGCGCGTAGGGTGCCGCTAGTTGGTGATGGGTGAAACTTTCGGAAAACCATAAAGTCCCCCTGACCTTTTTAGCTTCACTTCGTCACCCAGAAACGACAGCACATACACACAGTTAACGAGGAACAGCCTGTTCAACACGACCTTCTCTTCTTACAACACGTCTTAAAAACTCAATCCAAAAAAGCCCTTGACCTGCCAGCGGATATCCTGGTCATGTGATTTTAGTGGACGGTACTAAGTCTCTAGCCTGAGTGTCAGCTTTGTTAGCGTTTGTACGCTCCCCAAGATCCGCTCAAGTACTGGCCGGTAGCGGATCTTTGGGGGCGGACGAAAGCTAACAAGGCTGACACTCAGGCTACTAAGTCTTACGTAAGAAGACATGATGAAAGTCGGCCGGCCATGTACCTCAGACATCACATTCCTAGCTACAATCATATTTAGAATTTCTAGACATGTGATTAATCATTACCAAATCCTTATCGCGATCTGCTGATTGGCAGAAAGAGTGAAGTGTGCAACAAACCCGTCACACTTTCCCCTTACCACCAACCAACCAAGATTGGCCGAAATTCAGGAGCAATGTGTCTGACCAGATTTAGGCCACGTCTACCTTTCGATATGACTCGAACTTGAATTTGACTTAAACTTTGGCCGCCAAACACGTCCCGAACACTGTTGACTTACTCAGTAGTCGAATATATTGGATAGAAATCGTCTCAGGTGTATTAAACATAATGAGACTGTCAATTTAAACAGGATAATTCAGGCTTGTCGATTTTTCCCTCCCAGCAGTCAAGATGCATCTGTGTGGAGTGGGAGCCGTGATGCTGACAGTCCTGCCGATCCTCCAGCTGTACGGACAGACGGCACCGGCCTGTCCAACACAGTGCACCTGTCAGGCGGACGGACTCGTCAGCTGCGTCGGGCGGCAACTTGAGGGCGTACCGACCAACATCTCTCCGGACACCCGGACCTTGGACTTACGAAACACCGGGCTCAGCAGGATACCGGGACTGTCCTTCAACCAAGTACCCGACCTCGAGGTGTTGAGACTGGATGACAACAAGCTGGAATCTGACACGGTCGCCATGTTCGGGTTTGTCGGTCTCCAGAAGTTACAAGGACTTTTTTTGTCAGGGAATCAGTTAACTCATAGTTTCCTACTGAGGCAATCCTACTACATTCCCCGAAGCCTGAGGAACCTGGATCTATCTCGGAACCCGCTGTTAGACGTCCGAGAGAGAACCTTTTACTTTTTGCAGAACCTTGAACGGTTATACCTTAGTGACTGTAAGATCAACTTCCTCCGTAGTGAGGCGTTCGTCGGGCTGTTTAGTCTGCATGATCTTCATCTCGAGGATAACCTGTTCACGCGGGTACCGACGACGGCCTTTAACAAAGTCCCTAACCTGCGGCGGTTGTTTATGAACGGTAACCCGGTACACACGCTTTCCGCCACCGACCTCACAGAACTGCCAAACCTTCAGTTACTTGACTTCCGGATGGCAAACATATCCAGGATAGATGAAGCTACCTTCAACAAAACGCCCCGGCTTCAAACCCTGCTCTTGACTGGGAACAGGAACCTCGTCTCTGTGGGCAAAGATATTTTTGCCAACTTGACCGAGCTGTCGCATCTAGAGCTCGCTGACTGCGCTTTCCGTTCGGCCGGCACATACATCCTAACATCTCTGAAGTCTCTTACTACGTTGACTATTGACGGAAACCCGTTCGCGTGCGGGCCGAGCATGTGCGGATTCAGGACCTGGCTGGATACCACCGACGTCAACGTCCTTCAGAGGTACGACATCAGGTGCGCCAGCCCCGCATACCTGCAGAACGTGCCCGTGCTGAACGCCAGCATAGCCTACCTGTGTGAGGGGGAACGTCTGAGTGAGTACTACACGAGTTTGGCCCAGTCCGCGATAGAGAAGTGTCCGTTTAGTTGTTTCTGTAACACCACCATGGTTGAGTGTCCCGATGCTAATCTGAGGAAGATGCCTACGTCATTTCCGCCTCAGATCAACAAGCTCGTCATGAGAGGAAACGCCCTGACGACAATAGAGAAAAAGACACTTGAAAAGGTTCGGTACGTCACGTGGTTAGACCTAAGCGCCAACAACTTCACATCCGACAGTTTTGATGATGGACGTCTGACGATGTTGCCGTTCATAAAATACTTAAATCTGTCCAGCAACATGCTGTCCAACTACCTACTTGCCGAACAGATGCCTACAAGTACCAAACTCGAAGAGCTGGACATGTCCAATAACCCCCTTGGAAACATCCGCGCAGGGAATTTTCGGCTGTTAGGACTGTTACGGAAACTGCACTTGAACAGTGTAGGGATGACGGAACTGACAAGCTTCTCGTTCATGGGGCTCTTCAGTGTACAGGAACTTCACCTTGCCAACAACAGACTCAGGGCATTGCCGATAAAGGGGTTTCGCTTCGTCGGAATGGTGAAGAAGTTAGTCCTCCGCGGGAACCCGCTTACACAGCTGACCGACGGGTCGTTTCTCGGGATGCCCCAGCTTACCTACCTGGACGTGAGGAACGCGCGGCTCCTCAACATCCAACACAACACCTTTAAGTACACTCCGTACCTTACCGAGCTGCTGCTGGGCGGTAACAAGAATCTATCCTACATCAGCCCGGTGACGTTTTCCGCCATGCCCAATGTCCAAGTCATCGACCTGAGCGGCTGTAGTTTCAGAAGTCTGTCCAACGACACCCTGCCGCGGCTGCCTAGACTCCGGGCGGCAAGTCTTCACAACAACCCCTGGCACTGCGACGGGGGTCTGTGCTGGCTGAAGAAGATGGCGCTGGACCGTGTCGTCTACCTGGCCTATCTCCATCAGATGACGTGTGTGACTCCGCGCTATGTTGCCGGGGACACCATACGAGATGTTGACAACCAGTTCATCTGTCCCAGAAAGTCTCAGGTGCCTGTGGTCATCACCAATCTCATCGAGGATTCCATCTTCATTCCTCAAATCCCAGAAGTCAGCGACGATAACATCTGCCCCGCGGAGTGTCAGTGTTACAAAATTGAGAAGCGGGTAGACTGTAGTCACGCTAACCTCCGGTCTGTGCCTGCACCATTGCCTCCGTACACTGTACATCTCAACCTGGCCAACAATTACATCAAGAACATTACCGACACGGACTTTCCAAACTTGAAGAACATTCAAGTTATCGACCTTCGGAATAATCTGATTTCCAATCAGGGAATTTCTAAAGGAGCGTTCAAGGGTTTGGACACTGTACGGATCCTTCACTTCTCAGATAACAAGCTGTCAGAAATTCCGCCACAGTTGAGTCGGCTAGCTTACAGTTTACGGATGTTGGACCTCTCGGGAAACACCATACAAGCACTTGAACCAGGAACGTTCAAAAGTTTCCGGACCCTTCGTGACCTGGTATTGTCAGACGTCGGTCTGAACACCATTAAACGCAACGCGTTTGATGGGCTAAAGAAGCTGCTTATACTTTCCATTGCCTATAACAACTTGACGACTATTCCAGAGGAACTGGGCAGACTACCAAACCTGGCTGAGCTCCATGTTCGCGGCAACTCGATCCGGACTTTGGAGCGGACTTCTCTTAGAGGACTTACCAGCCTTGAATTCCTCGACTTGAGTGATCTCGGGCTTAGAGTGTTGGAGCCGGGGGCTTTCGAAAACTTGCCCGTGTTGGATACCCTGGTTCTCTCAGACAATAGCGGGATGTACCATCTATACACTGACGTGTTCCGAGGCTTACAAAGTCTGCGGACGTTACGAATGACTGACTGTGGTCTGAGAACGGTGGACCGCAGAGTGCTGTCCTACATGCCGGCTCTGACGTCGGTGGTTCTTCACGGGAATCCGCTGGAGTGCAGCACTGATTTCTGCATACTAATCCAGTGGCTTCGCACCAGAGGTATCATCGTTGAAAACGATGGGGAAGTACGATGTACAAAGTGGTCTCAGACAAGTACAGAGGTTTATGTCATTAATGACGACGGCTTTCAGTCGTTTTGTGAAAGTGCCTGTGGCGAGTGTACGGGGATTTCCACCACACCCGTGCCCACAACAAGACCCCATCAGAGCACCTACGCCACGGCGACACTGCTGCCAAGGACGGAGAGAACAGATGATGTGATGTCCACCCTTCCGAGTGTAACGTGGTTCTCAAGCACCAGGGCACCGCAGGCTCCGGTAACTCCGTCGGCGGTGATCAAGGACGCACAGACCACTGACTACCCAACAACAGTACACATGGAGACCACACCAGTCCCTAAACCTCCACTTACCATTACCGGAGCTACTGTACAGCACAGAGAAAAAACTGCCGACGTCAAGAAGCTACCGCTGCATCCAAACATCGATAAAATAGGCAGTGGCGTCGAGAAATACAATCTACCCTCGGAGAAAGAGAAGAATCTTCATGGTTCTGAAAAACCGCAAAAGAGTGGGGATTGTAAGAACTGTGTTCCCCTGACTACAGCGAGCGGGAGGATCCCGTTCTTGTCGACAGGTCGGGGAGTGGACAAAGGCCGGGAGTCGGAGAACACACCTCGGACGGAGAAAGTGTTTCTGGCCTCTCTGAGCGGCAACATTGAACCTTCTCCTCCTCGTCCCATCGAGCCGGCTGACATGGTCAACAACTCCAAAAACAAACCTTTCTTCTCGAACGAAGGGTTCTCTGTGGAGGGTGAGGAAACGGTTCTTCAGTGGTCGGATAGTTCTACTACAACTACACCCACCAGGCCGGGACCAACACCTCGCCCCACGAGACGGCGTCCCGTAATCACAGTCCCGAACAGGCGGGTCCAGCAAACAGTCAGACCAACGCAAGGGAAGCACAGAGATGTCCCCAGCAGTCACACGAAGAACAAGCAGTCCAAATTTACACTAGTAGTTGAACAAGTTCCAACGAGTACAGAAAAGTCAACCGATCATGCGGTGAGTTCACAGGAAGAAAGTTCCGGGGCGATCCCAGCAAATCGTTCATCCCCGAAGACTTCGAACGAAGTCATTGATAACGTTTCGAGTGAAGGAGGGAAAGAAGTTCCCAACACCATAACGCCTGACGTAGGAACCCCCAAAAAACGAATTTTGTTCAGCGATGTTGAAGGTGACCTACAAAATAACCGTGAGAACAGTAATATCGGTAAAATCCCACCGAGAGGAAGTTTCAAACAACCCATTGCCACGACGCCAGCAGTCGTTGATGCGATCCCCAGTATGTCCACCACTGGACGGAAAGAAGGGAAGTCATTTCAGCACCTGCCCACTTCAGCCTACGTCATGACGGCGCCATTTTCTCCCATCATGCCCTCCGAGTGTCCAACCGGATGTGGATGTTACGAAGAGTTGGTACGCTGCAGTGACATCGGTTTAACAAAAGTACCGAGACTTTCTCATCCACGACTAGAAAACTACTTACTCAGCAATAATCGCATCAGTCGCGTCCCGCCAAACAGTTTCTTGTGGGTGCCATCGTTAAGAAGTTTGCATCTTGACAACTGTCGTCTAGTGGATGATGGCATCGTGGAAGAGTCATTTTCTGGCCTGCGACATTTGAAGTACCTCCACCTGACCAAAAACAGACTCACTAGAGTACCGACAACTTTACCGAGATCATTGGAGTACCTTTACTTGGACAGCAACGAAATAACCACCGTTGGGGGAAAAACATTCCAAGAATTGCCAAACTTACGAAGTCTGTATCTCCAGGACAACAACCTGACTAGTGAAAGTCTTCACCCAGCAGCGTTCGCGTCACTCGTCAACCTAACGTCAATATATCTTCAAGGAAACAAGCTGGAGAAACTACAAGTCATCTTCCCGCCTAGTTTGGAGGTCTTACGTTTGGGACACAACGGAATAAAGGAGATCTCTCCTAAGACCTTCCTCTACCTGCCTCACCTTCAACAACTCTTCCTTTCCGAAAACACACTAGAAGCCCTCCCCCGCGGACTCTTCAGTGGACTCCTAAGTCTGCAGCATCTGCATCTGGCTAACAATAAGTTAGTCACCGTGCCGGCTGATCTCCCGAAAGGTCTCATCCATCTGAACCTGGCCGGTAACGCCATTTCTGCCATCCCCGGGAGCATATTTTTCCGCCTCCAGATGCTAGTAGCACTCAACCTTTCTAACAATAACCTCTACGACGACCGAATCGTGGATCTGGATTTCGGGTATCTGAAGCATTTACACCAGCTCCAGCTTGCCGGAAACCATCTGACGTCTGTCCCCGGAAATCTGCCCAAGTCTCTCCGGTATCTTGACCTCAAGGGTAACCTTCTCTCCGAGAAAACCGCCAACGTCGAGAATCTCAAAGGCAGCGTGGGCCTGAAGTATTTGAATCTTGCGGAGAATTACTTCAGGGAGATTCCGACGCCCCTGCCCCCTTCCCTGGAGTCACTACATCTCAACAACAATCTTATCATCAAAATTACTCCCAAGGTGTTTTCTCAAACCCCGCGTCTCAAGACGTTAAACCTACGGGGGAACATGCTCGGAGACGGAGGTGTGAGTCGGGACAGTTTCTTTGGGACCACAAACCTGGCTTACTTGGACTTGTCAGACAATCACCTCAACACTAGCCTACAGCACCTACCGAGCAGAGTCCAGTATCTTATCCTATAGAATTACAAACCTGCAGCTGGCGAAACATGCGTTTGATAATGAACCAGAATGAACTTGAGGAAAGTTAGAAAGATGGATATTTAGAACTCGTTCAAGGCAGGGTTCGCGAATCCGGACTGACCCAGTCACATGGTTGATCCAGATTCGCGAACCCTGGTTTGAGATTTCCGAATCCGGCTGGGATTCATGCTGGGATTCTTTACTTGTATTAATATTGTAACTTCTAGTCCTGTGAAATGAAAGTATACATTATTTAAGTTGTCTAGATTACATAGTTAATGAGAAAGGCTCCTGATCGTTATTATTAGGACTGAAATGACTGGTTTGAATGTTCTAGAATTGTCTGTAACTAGACCTCAGGATTTGGCTTGAATTAGCGAGGGAAATTACTGGTTGTGTTATGGGGATTACTGGATTAGCTGTCTCCTGTGTGTTTACAGACGACATATGGGACCCAGCAGGGAGTGGGTTTGTTACGGGACCTCTGCATGATGTAGCATCTATCAGGCCTCGGCTGGAAAGAGTAGAAATTGACCATGGCCAAATAGATGACATGCCAGGGTAGTTGGTCCGCTAAAGGAGTACAACTCCCGTCATATCTGTCTATCCGACCAATTTCTAATCTTCCCAGCCGCTTCCGAAGACAGATAGAGACTACCGCTGATGCCTCATTACTGGGATGTGTTTACAAGTCCTTCTGACTTGAATGTCAAGTAATAGATCTCTCGATTTTCAATATTAAAAAAAGTTTTATTACCTTTCGCCTATTATGTTATGTTTTTGGTAGTGTGTGTGTGTGTATGTGTGTGTGTGTGTGTGTGTGTTGTTGTTGTTGTTTAGCATGCTAACTAAGGAAGCTATATATGATAGATGGATCGCGTTAGATCACCTGACCCACATAGTCCTCGCGTGATAGCACCTAACCCAGTAGCGCCTCCTAGCGTGCATTTTGTGCGAGTCAGATGCAAAGCTAGCTCACGTGTTGATGAACTCAACTTTTCCTTGATCAATTCCATTATCTTCTTCGAACGATAGATTTCCCCAAATCAATGGAGCGTCTAAAGTCCGCATACTTGTTTTGCCAGACATGAATACAAACAAGAGTTCCACGACCTCATACATTTGATCCCAATGCCCCACTGCTTCTTGAGTTATCTAAACCACAAACACACAAACGCTACGGAAAACATAACCTTCTTGGCGAAGGTAATAATGTACCATAACAAGTCACTTCCAAAGTCATATACAAGAACAATTTAATTGACCGATAGGCGTTGTTGGCCCTCCTATTATATACTAGTTTATACCGCGTATGCCAGGATCCCCCATGCATACCCTCTGACAAGTTTGAATTCTCAGCTGGAACAGAGCGTCACTTTTAATACACTGACGCGCGGTTTATTTTCCCGATGAGTTGAAGGATTGAGATTACAGGGAAAGTTTCCGTTCATGTCTCTGGGCCTGGTAATGGGTTCGTTACTCCGGAGACAACCCTGACATGACACGGCCACGAAAACACCATCTCTTCGGTTAGCTTTTGAATCTCGCTTGAATATCTACAAATATGTACTTTCTAACATTTGTTTGGTTGTGTTATAACTCCCATGTATATAAAACATAAAAGTACATATTCGCCTCTTTGTAGCTATTTCCAGGAAGAAAAGGACAAGGTCATACACCTGTTCAGGGTCGGGATAGTTAGGTTGTAGCAGACTTTTGGACACAAGTGCACCGCTAGTTATTTAACCATATGGGAACCCATTTAGATCTAATTTAAATATTGTCTACTACTGGGCAACCTGTTCATTCTTTAGAAACCGTCTGTCCGTACGTAGGTTGTCTTCCCCCATCACCTCTGTAGCATATGTCTGTAGATTTAACTGTGTAATTGCAAAGAGAAAGGGGAAACACAGAAACACATAGAAAATTGGGACAAAAATCATATCTTGAAAATTTTGCATAGCTTTGTTGTAATATTGTTAAACAGCCTTTTGGTTATTTCCGTGATTTGTTTCTGTTGTTTTTGCCATTGTTATCTTTTCTCCTGAAACATTTCCTTTGTCTAACCGTTAAATACTGCTTTATTTTGATTGATGTTGTTTCCTTGATTGATGTTGTTTTTGAAGGTTAACTTGTCACGCTCCAGGTTTTTGAATTTGAAATTGATTGTTTATGTAGGGGTTATGTGCATACTTCTGTGTATAATCTGCCATTGTTTTCAGTTGTCTGGTTATTGTTTATTTGATAAATGTGACATACACATTCATACGTATTTTTTTTGTTCTATGAGAAAATAAAGATACATAACACAACATTTGATTGGTTAATGAACTTGACAATACAGTACGATTGGTCAGGACTAACAAAAAGCTTCCTGATTGGACAGTCTGAAATATAAAAGAAAGGTCGTAACGTCCTTTTGACCAAGGAAATAAGTCGTTGTTTTGACCAAGTCTGACCCCGAACTGCCGTGTTGCTACGCTCCGCTGAACCTTCCTCCCTCTGACCCGATTCTGATTTAAATTTGCCCCGAGGCCCCAGCAGACACCGCCATCCTCCAGTCGTCCATGTTTGTAGAGTCTGAGTCGGAATGGTAGGAATACTTGTCGTGCCCGGAGATTTGTCTGCACTCTAACGTTTCCTCCCCACAGAGATACCGGCTATTTACGGACGCAGCCCGTCCCCAATGCAGGGTCGACATTCTCCCGGGACGGTACAGTGCCTGGCGCAGGGCAGGAAGAGCCCCACTACAACAAAGGAACGTCGCCTGAGTTGGAACCCTCCCTGTTACCGGAACACCCAGCCCGCCAAACTGCCCATCCACAGGCTCAGCCTGGGATGTCTGCCGAACAAGAAGATGGCCAGCGAGAGGAAGGGCTCGGCAGAGGAGACCCGACTGGACATATCGTTAAGGCTGCTGAGAGATGAACTGGTAAGTAGTCGGTTGGTAGTTGGCACTTTCATCACTTCAAATCTGGCCCGGATGGTCGGGCTGAATTATAGCACAGGTCAATGGGCCCACATTCGCCGTTTCCCCCCCAGGCCATGGATACAATGTGTATGGTACAGCACAGCTTTGTCATACCATACCATTGGAAGTCATATTGTCTCATAGTACAGCTTTGTGAGGCCATGGATACAGTCAAGGACATTATACACAGCTCTTGATACAGTCTTGTCATACCGCGTGTACTCTTAAGCACAGTCTTGTCAGTTCATGGATACAAATTATGATACAGCACTGCCTTGTCATACCATGGCTACAGTGTGTATGCTGTATAGCACTACCTTTCCAAGTCATGGATACAGTGTGCACAACACCGTGAGCACAGTATTGTCAGACAATGGAATTTCGGTATCCTTGTGTGTGAGGCAGACGGTGATACAAACCACAGCAGCAATCTTTTTATTTCCTCAGCTCAGCATCAAGTACGTAGGTAACACGCGTTTTATACTTCTTTGTGAACAAATTTGTGTTCTGATACGGACTGCCGTCAATAAAATTATAGATATATCATAGAAAACATTAGTCAGAAGTGCTAAACTGTGTACATGGGCAAGAGATAGTTGACTACTTCGGGCATGAAATAGGCTAGGAGTAGGTCCTCTAGAGAGTATAGCTTGCCGCCCCGTCTATTTGGCCACCGATAACCTCCTCGATTTGGCCAATTTCTACTCTTCCCAGCTGCCTCCCGAAGCCTGATAGAGGCTAATTTTCTTCCCAAATGAGGAGAGATAAGGAGACGGTGATTTGCATTACACTGAGAGTCGGCTTCTTCAAGCCAGTCCAGATAACAGGGGACACCACAAATGACCCAGGGGAATATTTTTCTGTGCCACAAGTACTCATTTTAGAGGCAGGGGTGTGTTGGTTTGAAGGCGTGAGTCTGTATTCTCAATCCCTTCGCAAGGTGCATGGCACTTGCAAAATGACCCCTCACTCAGTCCCTGTAAACTACACTGGTATTTGCTAGTACACCACCAAAACGCACGCGGTCTTTCTGTGCTATGTTTCGCGCCCTTAAATTTACGACTTTTAACAGGCCATGTTTTCCAGTTGTGGTAATTGCTGTCATTTGTTTAAAACTGAGGAAACGCTGTCGGCAAAACTTTTTGATCGTACCGGTGGAACATAAGATAAAGATTACAAACTCGGTCGGTAGGCTCAAAATGACTTGATCGAGTGTGATGAGTGTATGTCGGAAGTTACAGACAGACAGTGACAACATTAGCCTGGTGACCATTCTCTACGGGCCGGCTCTTTAGTGTTTTGGCCAAAGTTTTTTGGCACTCGATTTTTTCAGTCGGTCCTTCTGATTATACTGCCGCCCTGTAGACTTAATTGAAATCCCTATGGTGTGCTGGCGGGCACACAAGTGACAAGTGGTAGAGATCCGCAAGAGATGACATCGAGTGTTCACTGGGCTTTCTTTGCAATGATCGTGACAAGTACATGTTGAATGCTGCACATTGGGCTGCCTGAGGACAAGGTCTCCACGCTACAACTGTGGTCATTTCCTTCGCAACATCATCGTGATTTGTAGACTAGTGCCCCCTCGTTGATATTTTTAATCGTCTCATAAATTTTGACACAAAGATGGCAACAGCTTTGGTGGGAAAATACTAGTATCGCGTCTTTTTATTGCCATGGTAACGCGTGTGATCTTTGAATCCGTACAACACAGAATCACGATGATAACGCCTGTTCTAGTTTATGTATAACAACAGAAATACCAATTACATTTCTAGAAACGTGTTTGAAGATAACTGTGCTCAGATACATCAAACTTTAAAATTTATCTATTTTTTATTTGTAGCCCCCCTCCCGAGCTCCCCTCTGCCACCAGAGGACGTTACAGTCTACATTCTTGTTTGCTATTTGGTGTCTAGTATTCAGTGAAAGAAAAACACGTCCTGAAATAAATATGCCATATTCAAACGTCTGTAGTGATTTGTATCTAGTCCAAACAAACAACGCCGTGGGAGAGAAGAAATGTGTTGGTTACGGGAGTCAACATTCTGTGAGGCGTTGGCGAGCGGGAAATACCTGACTGGATTTAGTAGCAACGGCTGTCCAAGGGGCAAGTTACAGGGCCAAGCAAAATTATTCTTTTGTTTCTCGTAAATGTCTCTAGAAATACGTTGGGTATAGTTCTTTCTTGATATATTTCTGGAGTGAGTTTTCTCGGCGAGAATTGGTTTGATACATTTTCTGATCGCATAATTGAAATTGGAATAAACAAAAAAAAACTTATCTTAAATTGGCACGACACAGTTCATGGCCGTACAGAAAGCATGTCTACTCTACACTGAACAAAGCAAAGTGCCAACCCCTTCCTATCTTGTAACTGAAAATCAAATGTAGCCTGAACATTTCGAGGCGCTGTGTGATGATTAATTCAATACGTTTGGAAACTTTCCAAGTTACAGTCTGTTCGGATGCATTTCTGTACTTCGCCTACAACACAGCTGTCTTCTGGCATGTCTGAATGTTTTCTTGTCATATCGTGTGTGATGAATGTAAACACAAGCGGAGGTCTGGCGCGCGCTACTCTGGGAACGTGACGTATTTGGCCGGGATGACGGAAGGTCAGGCGGCGGGTACATCACACTCAGGACCCCGCCATACCGACCAAGCCATTCCGCGCATCGTACTCAATTATAGCCCGTAAAAATAGCCGCCAGCTAGGTCCTCACGGTGCTAGATTGAATCTAGAACCTAAGATCACTTCCCTTTCACAGCGGCGATTATCTCTGCTGGAGTACAGAGGTCGTACGGCGGCGTTCTAGCCAGCCTCCGTCTTTCTGTGATTTGACGGAATTTTTGTCGATGTCGCTCACGACTGGCGAAATGTTGCCCGATCCTACCAGCAAAATTTGCCCTTCAAAGTACAGGAAATAGAGTTTCAGAGGGTCAAGATATCAAAATTTTCCGGGACAGCAATCTCGTAGGATAGATCATGATAGTATTTGATACATCGATTAAATTGTGCACATAGTGTCGATGAGTCTTCATTGAAGCCCGCAAAGTAGTCAGACATCTACTACAGTTGTACCCTGTTTGTTGACATTGTAGAGTGCATGAAGCACGACCCTGGGTTACACAGAGTATACACATGTACGTACACATGTATAGACGAGAATGTAATAATAACACGATCGTTTTTCCTTACTATATTCCTCCATTCACGTAAGACTTTCCCCAAAGTTTTACATCCTGCACATCTTGACTATTGTCTGACTCCCAGTCAGGAATTTCTGTAAAGGTTTCGTCTGTTGTACACAGAACATTTGGTTGGGATCAATCTCTTTGTGTGGTCTGGACTTCATCAGCCTGGGTCAACCTGTCAAGGCGCTATTCTATTTCTAATGGGGGTTTGATGTAAGATAGGCAGACGTAGTAGTAGTTAGGGCTGTTCTACACCCAATCTTGTACAATGTATGTTGTTTGATGTTTAATTGTTTATTTGCAAGTTCATGTCCGAGGGCTAATTGCGCCATGAAACAATGTAACTATTCTAAACCTGTTACGGAATACAATCTACCAGTATGTTTTTTCTTAATTGCTTGACTTCTTCGATCTGCCCGGAAATATTCCTTTGAAGATCTTAGCAGTAGAAATGATGTTTAATTTGTCGTTCTTCAGGCCCAACTGCGGCGGTCGGGAGACTGCCTGTCGGACCAGATGCAGGGCATGTTCCGCACCATCCAGGACCTGCGCCGCGCCTCGGAGGAAGCAGCTTTGTTCAGGGCCTCTCAGCAGGACCTGACCTTCCTGGCCGAGGAGAACCTGGACTTACTGACGGAGTGTAGAACCAGGAAACCCATCGCCATTCCCGAGGAGTTGGACGGTCTGTGCGAGCCCGACGACATGCTATCCCCCACGTCTGCCTCTGTGCAGGGCCCCAGAACTTTCACCAACCACTCCGAGGTTGAGCCATGCCAACCCGCCTCAGACACCGTACATAACAGGTCGGTTTCGGACTGTTCCATGGACTCCGCGTTTTCCGACATGAGTTCGCAAGGCCTGTTACTCTCCCCCACGTCTCCTCCCCCCCTACCCCCACGGACACCCCCTCCCCCTCTCCCCCCGCGCAGGGCCTACTCAGTACCTGCCATGAGCGCCGAGAAGGTGACGTACAGAAACAATCCACCAATCAGAGAGCGGCAAACAAAGGTGAAGCGCAGGAGCAAGTGTGAGTGGATGTTAGAACTGGATGTGCAGACGGCGACTTTGGTTTGATGATTGCCGTCTTCAGAGGGAAAAGGTGGACGTCTATTAATTTGTAATTCAATCGGTGTTGGAAGCGTTTCTTTTAATCATTTGCCATGATCTTATTGTCACCCTGGAAAGGAACACTTAAAAGACGTTGTATATTCTCATATTTAAACGTGATTTAGAAATGAAACAATCAGTCATTCGACAGCACTCTCCAGGGACCTCCCAGAGCTGGGGCTATGCTTGGCCGCCAGTAGAAAGCCTTGCCACAAGGAATGGCATTGATAGATGTACTTGAAGATTGTGTTCTTGACCAACTGGTATAATGGTACTTAATTTTATAAAATAGTTCAAACAACATTCTATATCCAAGACACTGTTGACCAGAGTCAGTAGTATACATGTTGATATGTTATTGACAGATTTAGCACAATGACTTTAGTTAGGTCTTTTGCAACTAGATCTGACCATTACCATGTAATGTTCAGGGTGTGCCGCATTGTACGGCACAGGTAGCTGTATGGGATCATTTATCTAGTATGTTTTTGAAGGATTTTATACTACATGTACTCAAGTGTGTTTGATATAAAAAGGTGCCTCTCTTCTCATTCAATGATGTATGCCAGTAAGGCTCTCAAAAATAAACTCTTATGTTCATTATAACCACTCATTATTCCTCTTGTTCTGATTCCTTTTGCATTCTGATTCCTCTTATACATATATACCGAATCTAGATATCTCTTTGCTCAAAATACTATCTTATCGTAACTAACTAACAAGATACATGTACTGTAACAACAAAAGAAAGTACACCTCAATTGTGCAAACTTTTAATAATCCAGTAATCAGAAGTTTATCAGTTTCTATCAGAAGTGAGAACATCTTCTGTCATGTCAGACAAGGTCTTTTCTTCTTTGGAGGAATGGTGCACAGGGTTGGTTTGGAGAAGTTACATAATTCTTCTATAAACTGCTATAAAGACATAGCCTGGTTACCAAACCTATGATAGCTCCCGAGTCCTACATTGCGGAGAGGATGTAGGACTCGGGAGCTATAATAGGTTTGGTAACCAGGCTAATAAAGACATTCTAGTTGGAAACCCTTTCTTCCCCCTTGTGGCTCCTGAATACACCACCCTCCATTTTTTATAAATGACTGACAGAAAGTTGTTTCAAGAAGAGCTTTTCAAGCTAAGTCTGGAGACAAAAGGAAGTGTAGAATCGTGTAGGACAGCATGTACAACCACAGGAATGGTGATTTGCTTCATTGCACCAAGACATCTGCATACAATACAGGGCGATCATCTGTCAACTCACAACAGACACAAACAAAATAGCGGCTGAGACTAGTACAAGTTTTGTTCTCCATGGGAGAGTTGCTGGCAAAAGACAAGTGTTTCTTGATATCTGTTACATTAAGAAAGATTCTGAAATCCATTTGGGCTCGCATATAACAATAAAGGTGCATATAACTTGTTTCTCTCTGTTTCTCCACACCGAAGTATATAATCATCCACTTCTAGCATTAGCAGATATCACACGTGATTTCTCAACAGTACGACTCACAGGCAGCAGATCTCCAGCGTACACATTTCCGTACTACAGTATTCATTAAGATCAGCCTGGTGTTTCTGCTCTTATTTTACATTCATACTTTGGGAGATAATAATGTTGTTGTGCTATGCTAACCCCTACAAGACAAACTGCCTCAGACCACCCCCCTGGACCACGTTGGCTCAGCGCAGGGTGTAGCGGACATAGGGCACCTCCACATCCTCCCCCTCCTCATCATTACAGCAGATCTCCAGGACTAAGGCCTTCACATGGGACTTGATCTTCTTCTTGGACACCTTCACCACAGCTTCAGACATTCTGTGTGGAGATGAAACCTGGTGTTAGTAACACGTCTTTGACTAAATGATGGCTACAGAGAAATATACTAGTTATCAACCAATAACTCTTTGAGATTGCGGAGGTAACATGTAGACCAGTGGTTAGCGACCCTGCCTCTGGACCAAGAAGTTGGGAGTTTGAATCCCGTCTGTTTTCACTTGTCACTCACCCAACATGCATGCTACTGGAAAGGGTCGCAGTCCTTAGGATGGGACCTTAAAGCCGTGGTCCACTGCTCTTTGAGCTTGTTCAAAAGAGCTAGAGGAATTTCCTCTGTACAATGAACCTGTATATACTGTAGCATCTGTCAGGGGCTGATTGGGCCTCCCACTGACAGTGAGAGCTTGTGGCCCTTCACCTCCAACTCAATAGAACCATTCCCAAATCCAGACCTATCAGTTTTTTTATCTCTGAAAATCAGTCAAATAGGATAGGAGTTCAGGATTCTCTGTCATTATGGAAATGAGTCATGGGTTAACTTACTTCATACTGAGTCTTTCGTCCAGTTTGGACTTGGGCATGAAGAAGGAGTAGATCATGGAGACGCCCTGGGACAGCATGGTGATCTCCAGCTTGTGCTCATTCTAATGTACAACAACCAAAGGAAGAAACACATCAAACTTTATTGCAAACTTTTGCCCAAAGGCGGATTGCATGGGAACATACAAATATGACAACGTACAAGGTAAAAAGTGTATAGTCCATACAACTAACTGATGTTTCAAAGTGTAAAACTGTTGGGTTTTACACTTTGAAAGTGTGTGGCTTAGTGACTTCTTTAGAGGCAATGACTAATGAATAGTCAGTCCCATATTTGAATGATACCTGGGGTTTGTGATTTTAGTAGAAATGAGGTTTTTGGAGGTCTTTTCTGCTAAATGCACTCAAAAAGAAGTGCTGCTTCAAGAAGATTATCTCTTCCATTCAGTTCTTTAAAAGACGATCATTCCTTATGGACCAAGTCCTGAAGCAAAGCATGTAGACCTACCTGGAAGTAGTCAATAAACTCCTTGAGAGTCATCTCGTTGCCATTCTGTACTCCCTGGACCTCAAACCGGTCCCACAGGGTAAATTCCTTATCATAGTACTGTAACAGGACAGGAAAACATGGCATTTACATATCCACATGGACAAACTTTCCTATACCCACATACAAAATATCATACAGATCCATCAACAGCTTTCTGAGTTATCGACTCATCAAAGTATAACAAAGTCAATTCTCTAGGGAATGCATTTTGTGCAATTTCTAAAGTATGTTCAGAGTCATAGTTTTGTAAAACAAAATACCTCTGGTCCTAAGACGTCACCAAAAACAGCGGGAAGTTGTAATTTACACTAAGACAAGAGTGACCTTATTCAGCAGTCTTACCTTGTTTGAAGGAGCAGCTATCGGTTCTGAGAAGCCAAAGAAGGGCAATGCCAGGTTGATGAAGCCATTCTTGTAAGTCTCCAAGTTCTTTGATCCATTCACCACCTATCGAAGAGTGATATGAACAGGTTTTCACTATAACTTACTGAATACTACAGCAAATAAAAATCCACATACACCTACTTGTGTATACAAAACCCAGTACATGGATCAGTGCAGGTTAGGTTCAGGTAGAAATACATATTCATATGCATGTGGCATTTCCAGATTTTGAATTTCTGATGTGTCAAACTAACCTTGTACAGTTCCAGACAGACCAGGCCTGTGATGAGTGAAGTTGTAGTAGCGATGGCAGGGATGATTTTCCCAGCGATCAGCTTGCTCTTGTGCCTGTCTGCCGGGGTGATGTCATAGTTCTCGGCACGCAGGTTGGAGGCAGCCACGATGAAGTCCATGTGGAAATTTGTGTCGTCATCCTGAATATGGCAGTAAACATGTACTTAATACAAGGCTGGAATCTACATTCAGTACAAGTCAAGCAAACGTTTATTGCATAACAACTGTAACAGATACTGGTATAATGGAATTCCTACAGGGGTACAGATCATAGAATTTAGCAAAAAGGGAAATTGTTAGCCAGGAGAGGCTTAAATGCTTGGGAAAACAAGGATAGGGAGAGCAGGAGTACTACTTAATGTCAGACATCAGGTTTTCAAATAAAACTGACTTTCTCAAATTCCAAAGGAGACATCTGGAAGCCCTTGTAGCTCTCAGGAGTGGGCAGCGAGTTCCTGACGGTCTCCAGCTGATCATCGTCACACGAGCTGGCCGAGGCCTGGGCTTCCGCGTCAGTCACGTCGATCTTCACCCCAGACCTGGGCTTGAACTCAGGGACCGTCATCTTGCTGATTAGGTCTGTGATGTGCTTCCTGTCAGTACTGCCCTTCAGACTGTAGCACTGGGCCAGCAGGTTAGCAGCAGACACGACATAGTCCATGTGAGTTTTCTGGGTAGGACATAGACATAAACACATTAAATTTTATTGAGTCTCATTCACCTGTACAACATGGTCTAATCTGCATCACATAAGGTACCAGCTCAACTACTGGGAGGACTGGGACTGAGGGAACATCCAAATCAGTATACAAATTTTTGAATAACACAAAAGCATTATAAAAGGGAAAGTGTACTACTGCTATCAGTCAGTCTCAAAAGCCTACATGTATTACTTTAACAGGGAAAGTGTACCTACATTGTTAACATCAAACACCAGTGGATGGGGGCAGCGCTTTGGTCCAGACCAGAACGGAGCTCCAGAAGTGGTCAACTGTGGGAGGAGAAACAACATCAGATTCAGACAGAGAAATGAGGGATAAATTTTGCTGGTAGACTAAGCTTAGTTTAATGACATTCTCTTTCCATATCTTTACATTCTCTTTCCATATCTTTACATTCTCTTTCCATATCTTTACATTCTCTTTCCATATCTTTACAGAATATATAGAATATCTTTCTACAGCCTTGAAAGTGCTGAAACTCCAAACACTTGAAGACCGAAGAGTCGCTCTGTGTGCTAAGTTCGCCAAGAAGGTATACAACTCCGATCTGTACAGTCAATGGTTGCCAGAACATAGAGGTAACATTAGCGGCAGGGTGACCAGACAGAACAGACAGATTGACCAGTTGCCAGCAAGAACCGACCGTTATAGAAAGAGCTCCATCCCATACTTTGTCACACTGTTGAACAACTCTGTATAGTAGGGTATCCGTAGAGTCCTTTTGTGCTTACAGGTTGAATTCATTGTCCTTGCATTTAGTGTTATTGTATATACTTTACTAGTTTTTAAAAGTAAATAAGCTAGGGTTTTAAACAGTTGCGGCATCATGATTTTAATAAGTAATATGTAATATGTGCACGCAATTCAGCCTGTGGCTGCGATGTGAAACATACCAATTGTACTGTTTATTGTATTTGTGAAATAAACCAATATATATACTGGGATCAGGCTTTTAGAAAGGCTGGATTTCTATTTGCTGACCTGGTCAGCAGGGAAGTTGTAGAGAAGCTGGCTGATCTGGTTGTGGTACTGCTGCTGCCAGTGTAGCCGGGCCCACTTCACACACTCTTCAAACTTGGCTGGCCGGTCATCAACAAGAGCACGTTTCACAGCTTCTAAAACTTCCACCTGACAGACAGAAAAAAAAACTCTTACACTCAGAGAACTCTTGCACTTCAAGTTATACCAAAGACTTCAAATATGGTACATACTGCTTTTCTGCTTAGCACTCAGTATTTGAGAAATAGTAAGGGAGATCTATGAGTACTAGTAGGAAGGACAAGCATTTGACACAAATTCAATGAACACAGCTACTTACCGGCTGCACGCCTGGCAACTTGACAGTTCTTTCCATGAACTTGGGATCTCTGGAAACCAGAATATAAACCTTCAATTACTTTGTAAAGTCCTAACTTTTCCTGATACCAAGAGGGAACATATATGTATCTGTACATGTCTTGTGTTTTATGAATTAATATAAAACAGTTATTTTAAACTGCCAGGAACATTTTTTCTTCATACTTTGAATTTGCAAATGACAAATGTGAATTAAAACACAGTAAAACAGTGTCATACAAACATGTACCATCCTAAGAATATGCCAGCAGAATGTACATCAACCCATATCGTACAATGTGCGCTTGAGTAAGTTGTACATATATCTCTACTTACGTGATATACAGGTTGGCATTTTCTGCAGGTTGCTTGAACAGACCTTCAAACTCATCTCTGGCCCACTTTAAAGGGAACAAACAAACAAACAAAACACATCAGTAGTCGTAACAAGCAATGTTACTGTTAGAGACAACAGTATTAGGCCAGAGGCCCCCTGCCACTAGATGACTATCACTTCATAATAGGACCATGATGCATGCAAGATGTTGAAGTACATGACAAGACACAAAAAGTGACCTGTCAAAACTTTGGAAATGGAAGTGGGGGGTCCCACCTGTAATGTGTGCTCGATGGCATTGGGGAAGTTCTTGAGTGTGCAGATGGGAATGGACTTCTCAGGCGGGTCCTGAGAAGAGCTGTAGGACTCAGTGAGGTGGGGGAGGACCACCTGGACGTTTCCCTTGGTACCCAGGGTACCGGACTCCAGCAGGGGCTTCCGGTAGTACACGCACCTGCGGTCCTGGTACATTCCTATGGAAAACAGGTGGACAGAGGGTGGTTACCTACATACAGTTCGTATCATGCCCAAATTATTGGAATAGCAATGATCTGCTTTCAGCTAGCACGTTGGCAGAATGTACTACACCTGTGCAAAACCATTTTTCACGGTTTTCGTTGGACTCTTGGTCAATGTTGCATCAGAATTTTGCCTGTTGCAGATAATACTTTTTTTTGACATAACATTTGGAAATTACAGGCGGAGTGCCAATGTGCTATGCACAAGTATTAGTATTCTACAGTGTGTTCTGCCGACGTGCTCTTTCAGCTTTACATCTGTCACAATTACAGTGTCTTCAGAAGTCCATACAACATGTCCTCAAATGAACAAGGCAGTTATTTTGTGTTACAAAGATAATCTATAGAGGTAACACATAGACCACATGCAAATGTGTACTCACTGGCATCTACATTATCCAGGGCATTGGCAACTCCGTCCAAGGCCTCAAAGAAGTCGTCATGGTAGATGTTTTCTGTTTCTGGCCCGACCCTGTTCTGGTGAGCCGTGATGTTCATGTTTGGGTTCATCTTCTTCACAGCAGCAGCAGCCGTGTCGGACTTAAACTTCTGTGAAGTACATTCAATCCATATTAGATACTCTCTCTCTATCTATCAGTCAGTCTCAAAAGACTGATTTAATTGTGCAAAACAGGGTGGTACAGTTCCTTTACAAATTAAATTTAAGCTCAAACTCAAATACTTCAAGCCCAGTTTTAAGTTCATTGTTCAAGAACAGTTCCATGCAGAATACAAGAATCCAACATAGTTCCACCTACCCCGACATCCCAGGTTCTGAAGAGGAATTGCCTATTGAGGTTGGACTTCTCAATGATGTCCATGTCTGTCACCGTCACCATGCCCCCCTCCCCACAGGACAGCCCCATCATGGCAAAGTTCTTCAACAATTCACAGCCAATAGCTCCAGCTCCAACCTGCAAGCAACATTTCGTTAGGGCATTAGAATCTTTAAAATCCTATATTACAGTAAAACTGTATAAGGCATATGGTCATAATGACCTCTTTTTCTCGGTCCCAATGTCTTTCCCCATAGATGTTAGCATTAAGGAACTTGCTTGCACCAACCACTTTGTCTAATGCGACTGGCACTATAATAATAGGGCCCCACAAGGCACAATCTCGACCTATAACTCTGGTGGGTAAGTCTTGATGAGACTTCAACATAACATTGATTAGATTTCGATACTTACAAGGAAGTAGTTTTGAGATTCTAGTTTCTTCTGGAAGTCGGCACCAAACACAGCAATCTGGGAGTCGTATCTGGAGTTTTGCTGCACAACACAAAGAAACATTGGAAGGTCATATACAATTTTAAATTTAAGAGTTCATTTGGAATACCTACAATCACCAGCACATCAACTGTCACCGTCTCCAGAATACACTTCAATACAAAACGCCAAAAAGATGGGACTATACGATATCAAAGTCTTGTGTCCTTGAAAAGGGTAAAAAAATTTCAGTACTCACAGGTTTGCAGGACTCTTCTGTTAAGACAGAGTCAGCGTTTTCCTCTGGGAGACACTCCAGGGCATCATAGTACAGCCACTGGACGATAGGATGAAATTTTCCACTGCAGGCCTGAAACAGACATACATGTACATGTGTCAGTAATGAGACTGGGACACAACTTTCAGCATACGGCAGACTAGAAACATTTGGAACTTGTGAACTAAGTTTAGTAATACTTTAAGTCTGGGTTGATTTTGTCAATCTTTTTATCAAAGTGATATCAATAGACAAAAAAGTGGCAACATTGCATATTTTACATGATTTTTGAATGTAGCACAGGGGAATCCCACCAAGTGAGAACCAAACAGACACACTTGAGGTGCACAACAAAGATCTTATTATCACTCTTCTGACACTGTCAAGAATATGTTGTATATGCTGGTACACTTAATATCTTTGAATATGTAAACCTACGGAAAAAATATGGTGCACAGCTCCAATTTTGGGTGCAACAAGGTGCACATGCACCCAGTACTTTGAGCACTGACCAATACTAAGGCTTGTATCCAATTCTTACGGTCTAAAAAAATGTGACTATAATAGTAACGTTGCACATCTGACACTCCTACCTTCATGACCTCTTGTGCAGTGATCCCACCTATGAAGGCGTTCATGGGGCTGAGATCACCCTGTGCAGAAAACGCCAACTGTTTCAGCAGGCTTTCATCCACCTCTTCCACCTTTGCTGTATCCGGGGACGCAGCGTTCAGCTCCTTGGCCACAGCAACAAGCTTGTCTGCATCAGCCTGGGGGGAGCAACAGGAAATATCACACAGTTTTCAGATAGAAGAAAATATGTAGTAAAGTTGTGAACAAGTGCTCTATCCCCACACCTGCAAATTACTAATGTATTGTTACTGCCGATTAGCAGAATTTCCAAGTTTTGGATGTTTTTTTAACGGTGTTGTTCGATCACTTCTAGGCACTGAGTTAAACAGTACAACAGATACCTGACTGTGCCAAAAGATGGTGGTGAATGTTAATTTTTGCCTGACATTTGAAAAAAAAACTACAAATAGGTTATACAAAAAATTGTCAATCTTACCTGGTTCCTGGGCTTGGGAAGTGTGCTGTTCTGTTGCACATATTTGTGGAGAGCCTGGAAGCCCAAGTGCAGCTGAGCTGGACGATCAAACTTGGCAAAGTCTGTAATCAGGTGCTCTGGGTCTGCCAGGGACTTCCCAATGGATTTCTGATGGGGAGATCACAATTGGATTATGCCACATGTTTAGCTTTAGAACAGCTCAAGGAACATAAAGTGAAATGTAAAAAGGAACCATCAATAATCTACATATCAGAAAGTTACAAAGTTACAGAAGTATGCACACACTTACAAAGTTGAGAGTTTTGGGTTGTTTGACCTGCATGGCAATGCCTCCCCGGACATAGTCTGAGAGACCAGAGGTGTCACCAATACTGAAGGTATACGGACCTGGAAACAAACGGTCCACTGGGTTAGTTCACACTTCTACAACCACTGGCGCAACTCTTATCAGAAATACCACCTGTATATGCAGGTTAGGACAGGTAAAATTGGAGCTGTATGGGTATTCCTAATCAGGTATACTAGCATCTAACCTGCACTGGTCCATGTGGTGTGTTTACATACATATGTAGGTGTGGATTTTCATTGGCTGTATTGACTGTTAACACCTATGAAGTATAAAAGAAATAACGCCAATGATTTCTGAACAGTTTTGGTGTGATCTATGTTTCTTAAATTCTGAGTGGCGTGGGTAATATTTGTCTGGTGCAGGTAATTCTTTGTGTTATTACCACCAGTGCAGGTACATGCATGTAGAAAACATCATTTTGACCTATGCTAGAATCTACTGGATCACAATTTTTATAATCATACAGGAGTATGATATAGACGACTTACCCATGACTTTAACTTTTCTGGCTTCACATCCGTTGAGCTCTGTCATTCCCTGTAGAGATGATGGTCCAGGATTGATTAACCAAGTTCCACACAAAGTCATTATGTTAAAGTGCACAGCTTTTGCACACAAAGTCATTATGTTAAAGTGCACAGCTTTTGCACGCATTTTAATCAAGAAATGCATGACTTTTATTTTCTAATCACATTTCTCAGGACTTTTGATCCCCATTTGCTGGGAAGTTATTTGAGATATGTACTTAACTTGCTGCTGCAGCAACTGACCTGTATTTCCTGAAAGGTCACAAAATCTCCAGTCTCTAGTCCATGTCGGGATTCCTCCAAGGTTGTCACAATGCCATCTTCTTCCTGTTCAAATATGTACCACACATGTAATCACACACTTCTCAATTCTTTATCCACATATCAACATTGCCTGAATGGCCATTCATATTTAAATGTTGGGCAAGCTCTAATTGTCACAATGGCTCAACATTGTCAGTAAATGTCAGTAGGCCAACTCTACTGCTGCTATACTGACCTTGGAAACAGCTGAGATCATGCAGGACACTGGCTCCTCTCCTGTCGGATCTGATACCAGGAAATCTTCTCCAAAGTCACAAAAGATTTGCCTGGAATCACACAACGATTATTTACATGATGGAACTATAGCTACAGTACCAGTCTTCTTTCAGTGTTGTCCTAGAAAACAGAATACCCCAAAAAAGATTTGAAAATTCGTAACAATTAGTCAAGTTATACAATAAGACATATTACCACTAATTGGCAGATACTGTGTAACATCACCATTATTGTCATCTGAAGACATTTTTTTCAGTTGAGGGAAAGTTGACCTTTAAAGTTGCATTATGTAGCATTAGGATGAAATCGTTTTATTGTTTTGTTTTAAACTATTTTGCTCCCCATCCCTCTGTGTAAGGTAAACAGTTGTGAAGAAAATGCACGTACCCAAACAGGCCCTTTGTAGAGGCAACGATCAGTTTGATGCCTTTGGTATGGCAAAACTCCCCCAGCTTCACCTGCTCTTCCAAAGTGGACTCTGTCAGGACAACCACCTAAACAAACAACACAGCAAGTCAGCTTGTAACTAAGTTGTATGTGATGGTCCAATATCATGCTACAGATGGCTGCCATGTATGCACAATACAGGGAAAAACTTGAAACTGGTACATGGTAGAGGTATATACCTTCATTTGCTTAGCTCACATCTGTGCTTACCTGGAAGTTACTGATATAGTCCTCCGACAGTTTGCCAGTGTACGACTGCACGGGTACATAGTTGTTCAGTTCTGCCAGGTGCTGCTGAGTTGCCTCGGCACGATTCTTGCCGACATCGGCTTCCGTCAGGAAAAACTACAATCGGAGAAGTAGAAGTGAATTCTCAAAGGAATTAATTATGATACACTCATGAATATTTCTGCTTTCCTTGTGTAATATACTAATAACAAAAATCTACTGAATGCTCAAAAACAGAGAGAACACTTCTTCATTCTCCTGCTAAGCAATTTCTTTCTGGAATCCTTGGTCGCTACCATGCAGTTTTTTGTCTGCTGCTGTCTGTTACGCCCCCTCCTATCCACACCCAACTTTAGTATCAAACCTGGCACGGACCTGATCCTCTTCACTTGGATCTGGATCTTGGATAAGCTGAACCAGTACCCACCCTTACTGCAAATGTTATCCCCAGTATTTATCTCTGCTTATAATTACTGAGAGTAATGAAATTATGAAGATCATCTCACCTGTGAGGAGAGGTCCACTTTAGATGCCTCTGCCTCGTCATGAATGGTGACAGACTTGACTCCTCCCAACACCACATTCTTCGCTATCTCCACTCCCAGTCCTCGCATGCCTGAGATCAGTATATTGGACTGACCCATCCGGCGCATGGCGTCATGCCCCAGTACATACCTGTCAGCATCATACACATGTAAGGCTCAGTATCTGACTAAGGGGATGAAGTAGCCATATGGTAGATCAATGAAATGCCTCTTTTTTGACAGGGGCCTTGAATATCACGTTCAATTTTGGGTTGTTCGATTTTGGGTCGTTGGGTGGCAAGAAGTGATGCAATACTTTACTGAACGTAACAGCTAATAAACTATTTCAAAACATCACTTCTGCGTCATGAATGTCCTTCATACATCATGTACTGGTATTCAATGTTAAACCAGTATTTCCTTGCTGTTCGAGATTTCACTATTGATTGCTCGCGTTTGTGATTGCCGAACCTCATGCACTAAGTGCACTGTCTTTTTGGTAACATGGGTTGGCACTTATGTTTGGTTGGGGCTGTAATTGTGGCATTAGTGGAAAGATTTTAGGGCACCTACACAAGCACACATACAGTAATACATGTACATGCATATGGATGAGAAGTCAGCAATCTTACACGTAAGTTACAGCAGAAAGATGCCATAAATGCAGTGTTGTCTACTTACAGCTGTCTGGAGTACAGCCCTTCATCGATTCCTTCTTCATTGGCTCCATTTGCACTGGCCATTTCCACCTGAAAAATCCCCAGCAAAACCATTCTCAACACAACAATTCAGAGATTTCAGAATTCCAGCTAGTATTTTGGCTTTTAAATACTCCCTGTCAATCTGTCAAGGAACTATAACATTTTTTTTGCATTATTTATGCAAATTAGGTCAACATTTGGCAAAGCTATGAGGTCATGGAACTTCATTCATGCATAAGCCGTCCACCTTATCTAGTAACATTGTGAAAATCAGTGATCTCTGAACATCAGCATTTTGGGGTGATGACTATTGAGTTTAAAACACTTGGTGAGTCATCAGTCACATATGGAAGATACAGACATCTATCCAAGTCCATGTCCAGAGTCATTATATCAGGCAGCTTGCCAAAAAACTGTACATGATCACTAACAATTGAATGAATTCTTTGTCATTAGTCATCTTTTGAGAGATATCTCTTTAAAATCCCATGAGTGCCGTGGAAAAGCATATGCCAGGGAAACACCTACATTGTATCTGTATGACTATTTGTACATTTGTAACTGATACTAGTGATAGGGCTTTTGCCTTATACATGTAGTTATACATGACAAGGATTAAAGCTACGGGTTATCAAGGAAATGGGGAAAATGACTGCCATATTTTCAGTTCAAGATATGTATAAAAACGTGTTTGGGACAAACAAAAAGAGCAAGACATGCACACTCACATGCACAAACATATGACGTTACATAAACAAATGATTTACTTGTTTGAGTGACTGATTGTCTGGGCAAGTCCACACTCAAAAATTTGAATCCTCAATTTTTGGCTTAGAAATTGTTCGGGAAGTACCGTTAACACAATTCCACCAGGTTAGACATCGAATACTTGGTCAGTCATGCAGAAAAAATGCACTTAATTTGATGTAAAAATGACAAATTTTTTGCCATCATTTTTTTCTGAAAAATCATTTTTCCCCCGTGAAATTTTGTTGTTCTTGTAGCTACAAGTACGTTTCATTCCCATACGAATATATTTTATTCAGAACTGAAGGAGGTCACTAGACATGACAGTGCGCATTATCAAATTGAGACCCAAAATAAACTGGGGTGTGCCCCTTTAATTATGGTGGTTAACCAAGAAAATAGATATCACCACTGAAAGTGAAAGCATTAGTCTATGAGGAAATGTCACACGGGGGAAATATAGAAAAGGGTTAAACTAAAATTTCAAGCCAACACTGATGAATTATGAGCGGCCATCCTTCTGTAGGTGATTTAAAGTGAAATGGTAATTTTGGTGTGTTTAACGCCGTAGGGGTCCGTGGTATATGGCCGCTCATATGGCTGGACAAAGGTTTGAGTTTTATACTCACGTCGTTCGGCTGAGCAGCGACCGTGTTCTCGGTTGTACAGTTGGCCCCCGTGGTTCCCGAAGTCTTTCGCTTCTTACTCGGCGGTGACAGGCTCCCAGCGGTGGGTTCCAAACCACTAGACATCTACAGTTTCAACAAACCCAGAACGTCTTCTGATATTCGTAGAGTAGAGCTAGACTTGGTGGGGAGGGGGGCGGATTTGGTACAATGACAAAGCACAGTTGTTGGGCGACAGCTAAATACTTATTTTTAGTTTCTGAGGCGTCCTACGCTAAGTTGGTCCCACAGAATATAAAGAACGGAAGATGTCGGTACATATACAAACGTAATCGCGGCAGTTGGACCTAAAAACACTGAGAAAATGGGCGAATTTGTTAGCTATGCGGCGCCTCGAGTTGTGGTCCCGGTGCAATGGCGGTCGGACCTCGTGACGACACACGTGGGTCACTTCTGCTCGGGAGAATTTGCTGAACCACTGGCGCACTAAACACAATTCTTACTTTCCTGTCATCTAACACAAAAATCAATGCACTCTATCCAACAAGAATTAAGCTATGGCTATTCTACAATCCATTCAAACAATATTGCACGCAACCTTTAGGGGGGAAAGTGGTCATCTGCACCCCAGGGTGGTCACGGTAGGTTCTGGACTGAATTTTGCCGCCACTACACTGATTCAACCCTACATTCTCCTTACTAGAAAATAGCAGGCAAGGAGGAAATCGTCAGTTTTTAGCAAACCATACCCGATTTCTGAAGAATTATCTTCTTTCGCGTGTGTAGAAGGCCTTAACACACAAGAAGTGAATAAAAGTAAAATTTGCTATCCAGATGAGGTTTTCCGAGACCGGAAATACATCAATGATATTTACATCTGGCGCATGTATCATGGGCAAAGATGATAGAACTGCAGTTTGGACAGAAATTGTAAGATGTCGCTGACGACTATAACGTTGCGTTATGTGCAACTTTTAACCACTGGGTCATTTAGGCAATCTATGATTTACCTAGGGGCGGTCGTCAGAGGGCCGGGTTAACTATTAAGAATTATAAAAAATGGCATTGCCACTTAATCGTAGCCGGCCTCTTTAATTTAACAGGTGGTCAGGAAATTATCCGTAAAGCGTATTTGGTCGCTTTTGCTCCGCGCCCTACATTAATTCTTATCCCGAATTCATCATTAATTGAAAAAGTCTTAGTGTCGCGTAGTGCAACTAGAACAATCGCTCCACCATCAGTAGCCTCGAGATCCAGACCACCGTCACCTGCTACACTGAGAGCTGGCCAAGCACGCCGTCAACGAGGGCGCCAGAGCCGTCACTGTGACCGTGTACAACAGCTTAAAGATCGACCCCGGGCCCACACCCACATCCCCACAAAGAGCTGTAGGCGTAGCAATCACATTTTTGACCACATGTACACATCACTAACCTGCAACCGCAGCTACAAAACAATCCAACGACGCAGCAATAACTTGAGACACTATGATAAGTCCTGTGTGGGCTGCAACGCACAACTTGGCAACAGAAAACAAATCAAGTGTATTCTGACGTAAGACAGGTTTAAACGTCTTCTTTCTTATCGAACAAGTAGGCTGTGCCCGTAGCCTTCTGGAACAAATGTCGCCAGTTATATAGAACTTAATTGGCCGTCGATCGGCGTGAGTCAAATGCTAGCCAATGTCCTAACAATTAATAATGATAACTTCTCGACGGAATCATGCATCATGTGTGCACGTGTGTGTGTATGTGTGTGTGCGCGCGCTCGTGTGACTGAGTGTCACGGTGTGTCGCGTAGATGCTGTCGTGTATACGTAATTTTTCCATTTTATTAACGGTTCTGCAAGTCGTACTGTACATGTATTCAAAGTCATCAGCTAATCAAGCATTTATACTTTTTTGTTTACTTTTCAATGTGTATTGTTTTGAAAAGATGTATCCAATCTTCTGTAACGTTACATGTATTCATTCCATCCTTTTTCGAATTTACATTGTGTATTCCTGCTTCGTACATCGTATTAACGTTAATTATATGTGTTACACTGATTAACGTTAGTACAAGTGCTTCGGAGTAATAACCAAATAAAAGCTAATTCATACATCAAAACACGATGTCCGTGAGTTCCAATGCGTGTCAAAGAGTATCCGTAAATAAGTTTGTGTACCATATGACTTCTGGCTTTGTCAATTGATTTTAAAACGGATGGGACGGTAACGTTACATCTGGCTCACCGTTCAAAACCATTCATTCTTTTCTTCATTAAATATGTAAATTGAGCCTTAATAAACGTCATCACGGTCAACCTATGCGCATCACCTAAGCTACCTTCAAGCCAAAAATCACGCGAATCCAGATGATATTTAGAGTCCATGATGTTTGATCTAATTCTTGTTTGCCACTTGCGTGAATTTTTGCGTCTTTCAATATGGAGACAGTAATGAAAGAAAAAATGAAGTGATATTATCTACTAGTTTTCTGCTGTAGATTTTGCCAGTGGAAACAGGAAGGAACGGACCCGGTTACTTTCGTCTGTGTTTACGACATCACACGTTTTGCGGTATTTCCACACAGGTGCCCCCGTGAGTAGTCTCAAAAGCAGGCTCCACCAAAAGGGTATCTTTCCTGCTGCTTACGGATAGTGTGTCCTAATTTCTACAGTAAGCTTATCGTTATGTTTTTAGTACTATCTTACTTCATCAGAAGACAGCGGGAATTCGAGAACAATACGTAATCTGTAAAACTAGAATACATACAAAATCCGTTGTAGGGCCTGCTGTGTAGGCTATCTATGCCCCAGGACCAGAGTAAAAACATGGCGGCGCCAGGTTGGACCAGTTTTGGGTTTCTTGCGTTGTCCCTTGTGTTCTTCCTGTCTGTAGTCTGTTCCGAGGCCTTGTCACATCCCTCCAAGGATATTCTTGATCCAGAGAGTTCCACAAAGCATGTGAGGCACATGAGAAGGGTGGAGGGAACGCCAGAGAAGCGTACTGGCAGGCTACAGAAGAGGGCTGCCGACCAGCCCGACAGGTCCAGGTGCGACAACACCGACTTCACGGAACAAGTCGAGCAGGGCACCAGCAAAGTAGGACAACTTTACCCTTTAAAGTTTTTAGTCGATGGTCGCCGTGGCTGTGCGTGTGTCGTATAACTGTATTGTTGCTACTATGTGCTGCTAAATTATGTCAGCTTAAGTGCCCGAAAATTATGGGCGCTGCAAATAATTTTTATTGGTGTGTATGTGACTATGTCCGACTCCTGTGCAGAAGACCTGCGCTTGTCGATAATGGCTAATGCGCACACGTACACGTATACGTACATACGTACATGTATGTACCCAATTAATTTGTGCACACATAATCCTTCCTCTGTTAAACCTAATAGTTGCAGAATACTTGACTATGTTGAAAGTTAACATGTAGATATTTACATAATTGATGTTAGTTTTGAAGATTAAATTCAATACAGCTGTTGTTTTGTTGTTTGTCAGTAGACTGCCTCAAGGCATAAAACACCAGCTTTGCATTTTGCTAAGCATAGGAAAATTAATGTTGTGTTTGCAATCATTATTGGGTTGGTACATGGTATTCTCTCTCTTGAAATGCATTTCGCACCAGAGGTGTGGCAGAAATTTAGCTGAATTTGACCTGCAGACACCCCTTAAGATAAGACCTTCATTAGGTGAAGGATAGGTACAACTTATAAAATTCATGCAAATGATAGTCATTGAAAAATATGTATCATTCATCAGTCTTTACTTAGAAGTCAACATCATTTGGTGAAGGTATGAGATCATTGAACTCTAGATTGCATCATTGTTTGTTTCACTTTGGCACATTTGTAGATGTCAATGTTTCATTTGAATATTTTGTTTTCCAGTTCACATTTCATAATGAGACCAACCTGAGTGTGTCCATGACTTGGGCAGGAGAGAACAATGGGGTAAGTACTGAGTACACTTCTGATGGAAATTTTCTCCTGGCATCATCTTTACTAGTAAATCCCAAATTTAGGAGGCTCTGCATGCTTTTTTGGGTAGATAATTTGTGAAACAAAGTTCAAGGTTGCTTTAATTCTAAGTAGTAAGTTACTTGTTATTCTGAATCCATCATTAAGTGTATGTGTCTCTTCATCCAATTTTTGTTTATACTAAAGTTTAATTAGAATTGTTACCTCTTTCTCACATAATTCTTAAACATGTGTGTGTGTTGGTAAAGCCACACCAATCCAATTTGTTGGTTCTCAGATTTTTTAAAGAGAAAAAATTTGAAGTGACAGGGCGGAAACAAACAGGCCTTGGAATCCCATAATAATTAATATCCCCAAATGCTAGGAGCCTTGAAGTCAACATATCAGGCTGGTCTGTGATTCAAACAATGAATTTTAATCAGGAGCTGGTTTGAAGATGTACACTGTTTGTACAGGTAATATTGGTATAAACTAGAAAGGCCAATATTTGCTTTGGAGCAAATACAGCGATGGGTTCACCACATTTTACCACATGGCAGGGAAAGAATGAGAAACACAAGGGAAAACAATGATTTACATTGATATAACTATAATATGAAGTAACATACAACTAAAACAACAGTTGGATAGCTATTCCCTACTTTATTGGTTAGGATTTTTAATTGCATAATGCAAACTGTTGATTCTCAAAATAAAAAAAAAACGTTCATGCCCCGCATTCCAATGCTGGAGCAGAAAAGCTTGAAATACCTACCAAAACACTTGAATAAAGACATACTGTCAGTATGGAAATGCTCTGTGCAGGTGTTAATCAAGTTAAATCCCAACAGCCAATCAGCAAGAAATGCTCTGTGCAGGTGGAAATGCTCTGTGCAGGTGTTAATCAAGTTAAATCCCAACAGCCAATCAGCAAGAAGTATAGAGGAAAGCTGCATGCCTATTGGTTGATGCCCTGCATTCCATTGTGATGACTCATGCCCAGACATGGTAAACATGGCACACTAACACAGTAATACATTTGCTATAACACAGCCAAAAAACTCAAATAAAACCATTCTAAAAGCCTGTATCACAAAAATTTAAAAAACGCCTAGGGGTATTTGCCCACTGTACCTCCATACCAAATTTCAGGACCTTAGGCCCTAAAATGAAGAAGCTGAATCCATTTAAAAAATGGCAGGAGAAGAAGGAGAAGGAGGAGAAGGAGAAGAAACATCAGAAAAAGCAATATGGGTTCACCACCACTTCGTGGTGTGGTGAACCCATAATAAAGCAAAGAATCCACATACACCTACATGTACATTTACATGTAATTATATGGGAAAGTTTATTGCAAATTCATGCCCGAGGGCTAAATGCAAGACATATT